ACTCCAGCCTGGGCGACAGAGTGAGATCTTATCTCAAAAAAAAAAAAAGAAGAAGAAGAAAGAAAACTAGAACGGTTTGGGGAACTGTAGGAGGTAAGGCTGGGAGGCTTCTGCAGGGATCAATTATGGTCACTGAAGAGCAGGAAGCTTATTCTGGTAGTGAAATTACTGCTAAGACATTCTAGCAGGGGAGATGAGATCATAGAGCAGTATTCCCAACTTTATCTTCTAGCCCTGATACTTAGGTCTGAGTCCTAGAGGAAACGGATTGCAATGGTGTGAGCTGGTAAGACCTCAAAAAGCTACAGCAAAAAAAGGTGCTAGTAGCCTTTGAAGTTATACAAATCCTCGAGACTGTGCATTGCTGAGTGAGAATTAGTAACACCTAAAAACACATCTTTGGGCAAAAAAGCCTGTGCAGTCTTTTACAAGCATTAGTGCCTTAGTGGCTCCATTACAGTTAACAGCAACCGAAGATATCATCTGAGTGAGCCAAAGCTGGAAAGGACGGAAATAGTAGATACTAGAGCAGCTGAGGGGTAGTACACGGAGTCCTACCATGCCACCCCTAGCAGGCCCTTAGAAGAGATCGAAAAGGACTTTGCAAAGCACCTAGTGCTCTCTCATGTGAGGAGAGACTGTGCTTGTCTTACTCAAATTGTATCCCTCATATCTTGCATGGTGGAACAGGACTGCAAGGCTGCACAGATCCCAGGGTCCTTGTTCACGCAGTTGCCTTTATAAACAGAGCCCTCTGGAGTTGTGTAACAGGAGCCTTGCGTAGATGTGAAATCAACATAGGTTAAAGGAAAAAATGAAATATTGATTTCTTAGCTGCTTTTGTTAACATTATTCTAAATCTCAGGTTGGGCTGGCCTGAGCAGCAGTGGCTCCCATCAGATTTAGGCTTGGGGTTATCATTTGGGTAGCAGTGCGGCATATAATGTAGGGGAATGGACCTAGAATGCGCAATTAGAACTGCGGAGATTGGATGGGTGTTTTCCTACTTTAGTTCTGGAAAAGTCCTGCAAGGAACTAGAAATAAATACAATAACTATGTATACAGTCAGTAGGCAGAAGTAGCTAGGTGGAGAGCTAGGGGTTAACACTCATGAAGAGTGGTCACTGGTGGCAACTAACAAGAATTCCCCCATTACTTATTCTAAGGCCAGCTCTTAATCCTAGGCAAAATGAGACTGGGGGACAAAATTAGAATTAATCACCAGAGATCAGATAAAGCTGATTCATTTCTGAGCTGGAATAAAATCAATACAAAGAACTTGCTTGCATAAATATTAAACAAGAAAATCTGGAATATACATCATCCTCCTTAGAAGAAGATGAGGCCTAAAGAAAGCATCCCATTTGGCCAAGGTCACTGTTGGTGGAAGTGGCAGCCTCAGTATTCAAGAGCTGGGGAACATCAGACATTGTAAGTGGCCACAGATTTGCATGAGCTGAAGACCAAGGTTCGTGATCTGCTCACTGGACACAGTGGTGACAACAGAAAAAACATCTAGTAAACCTAAAAATCACCTCAAGAAGGAACTGGAAAACAATCTAAAAAGCCAGAGAAAGCTAGAGTTGAAGGCAGTATAGAGTTAGATCCAAGACAGAATCTAATGTTCATATAGATCCTCTTGCATCGTGAACAGATGTCCACACAGGACACAGGAAGTGCTCGGTTTTGATTATCAGTGTATGCCAAAATAAACCAATTTCTGTATGTGGAGGATAGACAGCTGTGTGAAGCAGGATTTTTCAGTGTCTTCAGCTGGCTCCATTAAACCAGCAGACTCACACCTTCCAGCAGCTGTCCTATCTTCAGGGGTACTGGACATGCTGGATTTGGGGAGACTGCTATGGGATCTCAAACCATTTTTAATACTAAGTACCATACGATGGGGCCACTGCACATCCATACTTTGTGCCTACACATTGGGAGGCACTGGGCTCTGGGGAGACGCAGATGGTTTTCAAGAACAGGCACTTGAACCCAGAAAATGCTTCTCGTCTACAGCCACTGTCATATTGTTCTGACTTCTCAGTTTCCTCACTATCCCCTCTTCTTTCAAATATTTTCATTTTCCAAATCAGACAAGTAAACGTTTTTTACAAGTACAGAGGTACATCAGTCACCACCTTCTCTCTCAGATGTAGTAAGTTGAATTGTGTGTTTTATGTATTGTTGTAGCTTAGATGTTGACTTTAAAGAGATATTGAAACAAACATCTTAAAAATGTAAGTATAGAAAGGTAAGCATGCTATTATAAAGAAATTTTTAAAAAAGCTTGTATGTAGTTACTATATCTTTGTCCTTCTATTGTCTTCAATGCCTTTTAAATGCACCATGAATACAGAGAAAAAAACTGTGTGCACCCAGGAGAACTTGCTTGATGTCCCTGGCCCCAGTTTACCACATCTCCAAAACCAATGGTTCTGACAGCCAGAGTATCTTCCAGATCTAAAATATCATAATCATGTATTTTACTTAAAGAACAGAAATGCCTAGAGTGTACATATTTTTAAAAAGTAGCATGAGCAGAATGTCACATAAACAAAGCTTCAGTCATATGAAGTAGTAGGGTAGATTATTTTCAGGCAAAATAAACTGATTCCTTATAAAATATTAATAATTATCCAAGGTAGAGAAAATAATTTTGTCTTAAAAATCAAAATCTTGATTCATTTTGGAAGTCATTTTGGCTCATTTCATTTTTTTAAAAAAATCTAATTTTTCAGTTTGGCCTAGCAAGGTTTTATTTTAGGAATACTGAAACTGACAGGAGGTAGTGGAGAGCCATGCACTACTTCCTTCATCTTTCACCTGCATATTTCTGGCACTCTCCATCTCTGAGCTCTCTTGCCTGAACCATCACCTCACACTCTTTTGGGAGTTAATAATTCCCCATAGACAATTTTCCCTCCAGAAGACAGAGTTGCTACTTCTTCAAAGCTTTTGGGGCTCCCCAGATGCTGCACAGTGGGGGTGCCTAATACTCATCTCTAAGGGTGGCTGTTTTGGCACCATTTTTGGCTGAAGTTTTTGTATTGCATTTCCATGTCATTCGGTGTGGTGTGTGTCTGCCAGATATCCTGCCTGCTCTCAGTTGAAGGCCTTCCCAGATTGGGCAGCTGAATGTACTGCACAGCTGCCAAAATTCTAATTCAAGATCTAGAATTCTAACTCCTGCTCTTTAGACCCTTGTCTGGCCTTGGCCCCAGTCTCCTGCCAACTGGGTCCCTGGCTCATTATCAGGCCCACCAGGGCACTGCCCCCACCCTCAATTGGACCCACGAAACCATTCTTGGCACCAAACTGAACTTCAAGACACAGCTGCCCCAGTCCCACCCAAACCGAATCTCATCTCAGCAAAAGTTTGTCACCTTGTAAGCTGCAAGGCAGAAGAGATGAGCAAGAGAAAATGCCACCAGTGATGATCAGATCACAAAACTTCCTGTAACAACAGACACACTACATGTGCCTTTACTCTAAGCACTTGCACGAAAAGCAGACAATCCCATTATCAGCAATAACATAGATAGAGATGCAGAGTTTATGGAGGGAGGAATACTATTTCTCCACGTATCTGAATCAGAGGGTTAGTGAAATTTGCCATACGGAAAAATGCTAAATTCAGTACGCATATATTAATATTAATAAAAAATGTACTGCTGGGTCATAAACTGCAGATAATGTGTAATATTTCTTAGGAACCAGGAAAAGTGTTACTGGAAAACACACACTTTACAGCAGAAATATGACTGCAACTGGAGGAGGGGGTGGGGACAAGAAAGTAATTGATTCTCAGCAAAATGCTGGTTTTCAGGGAAGCTACTAAATTCAACTTATGTGCTTACCTGGTCAACATTGTGGTTTAAATGCTCACAGGATGAAATTGCTTCCTTTTTAAATGAAGATGCTCACAGGATGAAATCGCTTCCTTTTTAAATGAAGATGCTCACAGGATGAAATCGCTTCCTTTTTAAATGAAGAGTCACTATGTCCCTTGACCTTATTTCTACTCCTTCTATCCTTTTTCTGCTGTGCTGAAATGTAGATGGGTTAATTACCAGACCAGAGATGGTGGAGTGGGTACAGTGGGGTGCTGTGATTGTGATTTGGGGTGAAGTTATTTCAGTTTACGTTTTCCCCAAAGAAGCAGGGAGTATAAAAACCGTGGTACATATGTAAAACACAGGCAAATGCACTTGACAACCAGGCACTCTATTTTGAAATTTAAATAAAGCTAAGATTTTCTTCTGGCCTAGAGGGAAGCTTCATTAAAATCAATTAGTTAGTACAAACCTCCGGAGAATATAGACTTTTTTTTAAAGAAAGTTTAAAGAAGAAGGTGCACACAATTACCTTTCCTGGGTCCCCTGTGAATGTGTCACACCTAGACAAGTGGCTGAGTACAGAAAAAGGTCCCCAAGAGGGGCCAGGGTAACTCCCCGAGTTCTCCTCGCAGGGAGGTAGGTGTAATTAATCGATGTGTATATATTAAGAACGTCATATACATAACCAAGGAGGATCCAGACAGATGGCATGGATGGCAAGCCATAAAGGGCAGGCCTAGCGAGATAAAGTTGGTGGCAGGGCTCGCAGGTGAGGCCTGGGTCCTAGCGCGGAGGTTGGGGCCGCACAGCTGTAGCCTCGCGCCCTGGTCCCTCCTCCCAGCTGCGGCGGCCTCCCCCCCACACCCGCCCCCACCCTCCCCCAGCCGCTCCCGACGCCGCCGCCGCAGCCACCGCCTCCTCCCCTCTGCCTCCCGGTGGCTCCTCGCTCTCCTTCCATCTCTCTCGCCCCCTCTCCCTCCGTCCCGTCCTCGCCGCTCCCCTCACCCCGCCTCTCTCCCCCTCCCCGAGCCCCTCCTCTCCTCACCCCACCCGGCCTCCCTCCCTCACTCGCCCGCCCGGCGCTCACAGAGCCGACACCAGGGGGGCTCTCGATGTAGCACCATGACAGGCATCGCCGCCGCCTCCTTCTTCTCCAATACCTGCCGATTTGGGGGCTGCGGACTCCACTTCCCCACCCTGGCCGACCTCATCGAGCACATCGAGGACAACCACATTGGTAAATGGCCCGGGGGTGGGCGGGGGTGCCGGGCGCGCGGAAACTCCTGCCCGGGCGGGGAGCCCCGGAATGGCCAGGGGTGGCCGGCGGGGAGGGAGGCGGCAGGGCGGGGAGGGCGCGTGCAAGCCCCGAGGTGGGGGGTGGCGGGATGCGGGGGCGCGAGGTGCCGGGGGGCGGGGAGCGGGCTGGAGTGGGGGAGGGGGCTGGCGCCTCGAGGTGCGGCGGGCGGGCGGGCGGGCGGACGGCTGGGGGACTCCGGGGCGTGCACGCGGGCTGTGAAGTGGTGGGAGCTGGGAGCGCCGCGGCGAGGCGGCGGGGGGTTGCGGCGGCGGGGCCGAGCGCTGGGGCTCGGGGCGGAGGGCGCGGCGGGCGGCGGGCGCTGGGCGCTGGGCAGGGGCGCGGAGTTTGTTGGCCCGGGTGGTCCGAGCGACTGGAGGCGCTGAGGACTGCGGGGGGCCGGCGCTGCACACCGCCGGCCGCTTCCGCCCCGGCGCGAGCTGTCAGGGTTCGGCGGCGGCTGCTGCCTCGGGGAGGTGGAGCGGGGAGGGGGGGGGTGGCGGGGGTGGCTCCACCGCGGCAGCCATTCCGCTTCCTCCTCCCGCCGCCGCCGCCGCCGCCGCCGCCGCCGCCACTGCGTCCTGTCAGCGCCGGTTGCTAGGTGTGGTGCGTCGGGAGGGGGCCGAGGCCGGCGGCCGCGGGGCGGGGGCCGTGGCGCTCGCCCTCTTCCCGGGTGGCTGCCGAGCGGCCCGGGCGGGGCTGGGACGCGGGACCGGGGGCTCTGGGTGCCCGCCCGTGCCCTGGCCTGGTGCGGACGCCCAGGAGCTGCGGACTGAGGTCCTGGGTGCGCCCGCGGGCCGCGCCCAGCGCCCCGGGGTCGGCGCGCCCTGGAGGCCCCTGCGGTGGTGTCCGCTGGAGAGCCACCCCCAGGGCCCACAGCCGGGCATTTAAATGCACCCTGGCTCTGCGATTTGCTTTTCTAATAGTGCTAGGCCCGAGGTGCGCCGGCTGCGCCCTGGGATCAGCGGCGGCCTGCGCAGCGCCCGGGGCGCGGGGGACGCCGGGGAGTGGGTGCCCGGCGGATCGGCTGCTTTCCATTCACGCCGGGACCCCTGGGCCTTCCAACAAGTCCTCTGATTTGCAGAAGTCCTTGCACACATTTACACACTTCTATCTGGAACCCCTGCTAAGGGAGGTGGGCCGGGTGCATCTGGTTCAGGCGATCCAGCCACCTGCGGAAGGTGTGGCCAACGCCCGCGAGTTGTCCTGCGTGGGCTAGAAGGTGAAGGGGCCGAGCGATGTCCCAACCAGCTGTCTAAACCAGAGAACCTGTAAATTGCCCCAGGAAGTCCAAATGAATGCCATGGATTCAGCCATGTGGATGCAGCTCACGTTTCTACAGAGTTGAGAGAATAAATCATGACTGCTGTGTATTTATGCACGAATAAAATGAGGCAGAACCATATACTCCTTTTCTTAGTATAGTGCTGTCTCTGCACACAGTGGGTGCTCAGTAAGTGTTGAATACCTGTTTAGAATGTGATTTGATGAGCCATTCGGAATCGGAGATAATCATGGGAAACGTCTACAAAATGTCTTTCAGAAGAAAATTCTGATGAGTAATTGTTCAGGTTTTGAAACTTTTCAAGTTTCAGGCGTCCTTGTAATAACTTCTTCCATTTCTTCTGATAAAGGTGTGACAGAAGAGCTAGGCAAGTTTTGGTAGTCTTAAAAGCAGTTTAATGGAGCAACAAATTTGCTGATTCATAACATGATTGAATAGTCATAACTGAAAGTGCTTCAAAGTATTAAATCAGATTTTTCATGATGGCTAGTTTAAAATAAAGTGAAAACACCAGTGTTGTGAAGTTCTGGTAGAAATGTTATTAGTTCAAGTTCTTCCCCTTACTCCCAATGTAAGTAGAAAATAAGAAATATAAATAATGCTATACATTAATATGAATGATGTAAGTAATATAAATACCTAATATCTCTTGACTTCATTGCATATCCCATTCATTCTCGCTAACAGTTATTTCAGAATAAACTATAATTTAACAAACTGGTTAAAAGACAGTATAAATTATATTTATTAAAATGTGTTACAGACAGTTATCCTTGAGGATTTAGTTTGTATGAGATGGTTTAAAACTTGCTGAATCATGAGGTTTTAAGTGTAGAAATTGTCTTAATATTTTGCACACTTTTTAAGAGGGCTAAGAGCTTGATACATATTCTGAAACTCAGCTTTGAAGTAATGGTACTTCATTCCCAGAAAGCTAATGTTATCCTTTTAATAGTGAAAATATGCAATAGCAGTGACCTAGGCAAACTGTGTGGCAGGGCTAGCACAGTTGAAAGTAGTTTGAACCAGCAAACTTTATGAAAAGTAAACGGTAAAATGAACAAACACTTGTAATTCCGAGAATGAAGAGGCTTATATACCTCTGCTGGGGAGAGACCCTTTGCTATCAAAGGCAGCCCTATATGCAGAAAGAAGAAAGAATTGATGTTAAGAAGAATAAAAATATCCTGGTAGATATTTTTATCAGTAGATAGTGTCATATAAATACACTTTTGATGAAGAGACATGGGTGAAAACATAAAGGATTTAGGGAAAGTTCTATACAGTTATTGTTATGTGGTATTTATCATTTGTGATTCAATCTATAAATATGTGGAGACAGTTATTTTTAATGATTGATTTACTGATTTCATGTTTATTGGTGAGTGGTTACATTAAAAAGATTCACGAAAAGAATAAGAGATGTGTTATTTTGCTTTTAATTTGTTCAACAATCTTGTTATTTAGGAACCATGAGTGTTAGAGAGATATGCTTAGGCCAGTGTTCCATTTTGGGGGCCTATCTGGGTTATTACCACTTAGCCACTAGTAAAACCCCTTAAACAGTGATAAAACAAACATTTATGGGAACATGATGTGTTTCTTGCTTGGCAGATTTTTCAAGGCCTATATTTTTCATTAGAAAAGTATTATGTTTAGTTTGTGTAAGGGTTATTGCCGAGTTTAAAATGAGGAAACTGAGGCCAGTATAAGAAAATTAAACGCCAATTTATTCAGCTCCCGGGTGAAGTTCTGTAGTTGGGGAAAGGGGGCCAGAGAAGTCGCGCTGATTTCCTGGGGCGGGGGAGGGGAGGGTTATGGCTAGGAGGAATGAGCAACACCTGGGTGCTCTGATTGGGTCCGGGGGAGCGGGATTGGGATGGGGCGGGCCGCTATTGGTTGGCGGGTTGTTGGGCGGGTTTTCCGGTGCAAGAGCTGGCCAGGGTTGCATTAGCCAGAGCCTTCCAGGGGAGCCATGCGCAGAGCTAGGTGCTGAGTGCAGTCAGGTGCCGGGTGCAGAGTCAGGTGCCGGGTGCAGAGGTGAGTGTGTTTGGCCTTCGGCAAGGCAACCGACCTTATAGTTTGGATTAATTAAATGCATTAAGTTGAGAATAACTCTCTGTCATCTCATATGTGTACACTTAACTTTTGTTTTTAACTATTTTCCTCTCCCCTTAAGGAACAAAGATTTGGGGCTTTGAAACCAAGGAAAGTGTGATTTTCACTATCCTCTTTTTCAACTCTTCCCTCCTAGAAGAATGCTGTACCAGTGTTCCTGTCTTCTTTCTTGCATTTCACTGCTGGTTCGGTCCTGGAATACCTGTCTCAGTGTACACACTGAATATCCTAGCTAAAACTCTCCTCACCCCCACTTAAATTGCCTAGAAATCCCATAGCCCTGCAACTGTGAAGTGCTTCTCCATCAATTTTGCTATCAGTTCATTCGTAGGTCTGGCTCTTTCGCGTGGAGATGGGAAAAGCAGGCCTGGGTTTGTTTGCTTCTTATTTCGAGTAGGTAATTGAATTTGTGGAAACACTTTTGGTATGAACATCCTAGATAGATGAAGTTAAACTGGTGACTAGGAATCTTAGAAACACCGGGAGCACTAAATTTAGCGCTGAAGGTCGTGCCCCAGGCTCATAAAATGCCTGCTGCAACCCTGCATCCCAGTGCTATGAAATTGTTTGGCCTTTTGTCTCAGAAATACAACTGTTGAATCATTCTTAGCTTATTTGATTATTTGGTGAATTTTTAAAAGTACCTCTGTATTTTGAATTTATTTATGTAGTAATATATATATATATTGAGTTCCTGCTTTATGCCAGGCAAAGTTCTGAGCACTTTATATCTTTTGGTTAACAGAATGAAGATGTCAGTCTTTAGGGAGTTGTTCATTGTAGGGGAGGGGGCCAGACAATGAACAATTGAAGTATGTGATATACAGGGTGTTGGGAGGTGGTTGGTGATAGAGAAAAGAGGAAAGCTAAAGCGGGGTCTGGTGTTTTGGGAGGAGAAAGTATTGAAATTTAAAATAGGTTAATCAGGGTGGGCCTTGCTGAGAGGTTGATATGGGAGACAAAAACCTCCAGAGTTAGCCCTGAGGACATTCCAGGCCCCAGGACAGAACTGCATCTCTGGAATAGAAACACAGGAATCTGACCGAATTCAATTATTAGCAGGTCATCCAGAACTTTCCTAAGATGTTAGGAGCCTCAGCTTTGCCATTGCAACAGATTTCCCTGCAAGGGCCCAGTTAAAAGGTAGAGTCTCATTGACCAAGAATGGCTTGCATTAGCTATGACTTGATTCTTGACCACAAATATCAACAGGTTTCTTGTTGTGAGTCCCTACTTGTTAGTGTTGTCATCTCCAAAACCCAGGTAGTAAATCTATAGTGCTTCATTTCATAGGATAGATTTATAAACCATCTGATTAATAAAGGTCAAAGTTCCTAAAGAAAAATCAGGACACTTAATATCAAAACTATAGAATTTGGCTTCTAAGATGAGTTAGTAAATATTTGCATTATTTTCTCAAAGGAGCACCACAGTATACTAAATAGAAAGAGATAGGCTGTACAATACGTCATAGGCCCTTATTACTCCCGCTTTTAGGTGAACAAACTAAGATACAGTTTATAATTGCCCCAGCTTTAATGACTGGTGTGTATGATTTGAGATTTGAATTCCAGTCAGGTATACAAAACTGAGCCAGTTGCCAATTAGGTGAATAACGAGACAGTCCTCCCATCTCCTCCTCTCACAGGGTTAGTCTGTGCGTCCTCCTTTAGAAAGTAACTG